CAAAAGATCTGACACTTTCACAACAAAACTACTCTCGTTAAGATCATTGATATTCGTAAAATCAGTTTTTCTGTAACTATGGCATTCTTATATTGAAATTTTCCTTTTCTAGGAAAGACCCTTCCAGAAACCTTCATTATAAGATTTCCATCTAAAGTTTTATCCATAAACAAGTTTCAGACACAATACAACATTCTAAAGGTTTTAGCTTAACCAATAAACAAAGAAGATTCATAATTGAAATTTTCTTTACAATAAATATTTACTATTTAAAAGAAGCTACCTCTTGTGTACATTGAATGTTGATTTAAAATAATTAAGTGTTTCTCTTCCAAATTTTTTTTGATAAATCTTGTGTAGAAATAAGACTTAAAACTGATTTGATAGACAATAATGATCATTTCTGATGAATTTAATAAACTTTTATGTATTTGATATAATGAACATATTAATTCGAATAATTTCCAAAAGTACCTAATTGTGTATGATTAACTTTTTTATCTTTGTCTATGTTTGATGTTGTTGATGAATCTTTTTCATTCTATTTAAAAAGAAAAAAACAAATGAATTCGTTCAGACGAAACTTGATCACATATATTCTTCAAATCTGACACTTTGGAACACCTTTCTTCTGTGAAAACTGAAATATCAACTATATTCTGTCCAAAAGAATGATGATTATGCATATTTTTTGCAATAGTTCGAGAACTATAATAAAATAGTTCAATTTTCGAATTACTTGAATCATTTGTGCTACTTTCAAAACATTTTTTCATTTGTTGAGATTTGATAAATCTTCAAATAAAAAGAAAGAATTAAAAAAAACATAATAAATATCTTTTTTTTTCTCTTTACTTGAAAAGATTAAATTATTAAGATCATGTAATATAAAGGAATGTTTAAAAAAAATTATAAATAAACGAAGTTCATCATATTGATTATGAAAAAATTGGTCAACTTGTTGTTGGTCTTAAAACATTTGAAAGAAAATAAATATCTTCTAAACATCCAACCTATATAAAAGACAAAAATAACAAACAATTTGTATTCGAGTTGATGCTTGAGCTTGTAATGAATGATGAATTTTATATATCCATTGACATGGTAAAAATGAATTGTGATCAACAAAACTTTAAAATCAAAAAGTAGCTAATAACTAACTTAATGCAATAAAATCGACTTATTCATCCAAATTCGAAAAAAGCTACGTAATTATTATCTTTACAAAATACATACTTAGCAAAAGTCGAAGCAGTTGCTTGACGAACACGTATATCAGGGTACTGTTGTTTTAATTGTTTTTGTTGTTGTTCAAGATAAGTTAATATTCGAAAATCAATATCATCTATAAATTGAGCTAGACTAACCTATTTTATATACATACAAAAAAAAAATTATTATAATCATAAATTTCTTTTATCTACTTCAGCAAGAATACAGGAACTTGTAGTATGTTGAATAGAATCTTCTAATAATTTAATTTCTATGATTGTAAATGCATGACTATTAATTAATAAAAAAAGGTAATAATGTTCGTAAAGCATTTAATGAAACATGTATAACACGTGCATTATTATCATTAAGACATATAATCTTGAACTGTCTTGTGAATCAGTTGATACAAGTGGATATTGATTAATAAAATAATTAATAAATGAATTTGATAATAATGAGTGTTAAAAGATGAATTGTTGTTTTAATTAATGTAACAAGTAAATTTGCACATGCACCACGTAAATGTAGATCACCGTGTTCACATAAAGATAAAAGATATGTAATGTCTTAAAGAAAAGAAAAAAAAGATACCTTGATGTTCGATAAATTTTAATGTATTTCAAGTCATATAGAGATGAGAATTTCATTTTTCTCATTAGGAAATTTCATATCAATTACAAAACTATATTTAATCAGACATCTTCAAAGACTAATGAAAAATTCCATAGCGGATACAATTGATTTCATATCTCGAACTTCGGCTTAGAACTTTTTTGAAGTAGTTGTGTGATTGTATAATTTCAATCTCTGATGTATAAATACAGCCTCTGAGCTTCAATAAAATGTTCTACTCGACATCTTTTCGAGTCTGATAATGTTCTAGTCTTTTGTTGGTTTCAAAAAAATTAAAAATAGGAATAGGACTAGAGCTGCTGAATCAATATTCAGAAATCTCCGTTCTTGAATTTTCAGATTCCAATATATATATATATGTTTCAACAATTTAATAGTGAAATTGTCATATCTATCAGATAACTTTCACTAAAACTTTGAGACTTTAACCAATTGAAGCCACGTCAACTAAACTCTGCCACAATCTTCTTCACCTAGGCCCTCCTACTGTTACGACATGAGAAATAATTTTGGATTATAAAAAAAATCTATTTCACTGAACTGAAACTTTACAAAAAAAAGTCAAACAAGAATTAAACATACTTTCAGTAAGATAAACAAATGGATCAAATTGTTTATAAATACGATAGACATATTGGTATAGCACATTTAACACTAATACATGATTCATCATCACTTTTTATCGTACCATCTATATTGAGTATATATCTAATCGGAAAAAAAATATAATTGATTAACAAGTTTAGCAGCTGATATTCATTTTTCATTATTAATCATTGATGTTGAATCGAATTCATCATTCATTTCGATAAATCAACGTTGATATGTTGAATAAGCTATTATTTTAGAAAAAAAAAACACATACAAAAAATTCCTTTTTCTTCTCAATATTTACCTGTTTTTAAGGCTTCACTAACACGAATTTCTTCTATAGATCCAATTTGAATTGAAATTAATAATTGATAAAAATCAAATAAATCTGAATAACCAAGTAATTGAATAAGATTTTTTATTAAACCAAGATAATCAATTATTAAACGTGTACTAGCATTTTGATTTTGATGTTCAAGTAATTGATCTATTAAAATAAAAGACAATTATAATGAATTGAAATTATTATTTGAAAGAAAACTTACCAATTACATTTGCCATTAGAAAACGTGCTATAACCATAGAATAACACATTTGCTGACTAGACCATAAGAAGTTTCTAAGAATGGTTTAGTAGTTTACTAAATATTTCAAAAGAAAATTATTTATTATTAATATTAGGAAAAGAAAAATTCGTTCTCACTCGACTTCATACTTTAACTATCATTATAGCCAGTGAACTCCTCTGACTAAACCATTCTTAAGTTGCATGAAACTCTACACTCGATTACTTTCGAGGGCAGCTCGCTTCAAATGATAGACAGTTTCTCAGTTCGTATTTCGTCAAATAGTATCAGACTGCCTATTCTACATGATCTGAAAAACAGCCCCTCCTGCTAGAAGTTTAACCGAAACATGGTAGAGCAATTCTTTTCTGTTTCTATTCAACCGTATGACATTTTTCTGATTACTTCTTTAAAAAAATTTGTCTTAGATGACAAAGATTTGTTTTAATTACTTTAATTTCTTTATCATTAATCGGTCGACCAAGACTACGAAAAATAAGTTCATAATATTCTGATAAAATGGTTGAATCTTTTTCGGATGTATTACATTTGCTAATTCGGCAAATCACCAAGAACACCTAATCGAAATTAAAAAAAAATCCTTATTATAAATTTAAGTCAAATAATAAAAATAACCTTTTAAAGCATTTGGCCCAACATTAGGATTATGATTTATTATTCGATGTAATTCAACTTGAATTCTTGTTAAAACTGCTTCTTTTAAATTCTATTTTATAATTCATACAAAATTATACAGAAAAAAAGAATTTCTTTTATAATACTTTAACAAATTTATTAAGATTTTCTTCAGCAGTCAATCGTACATTGTAATCATTTTCATCACATGTTGTAAATAATGTTTCCACGCTAGCTTTAATTAATTTAAAATAATTTTCATTGTTACCTCTAGATAAGAGAAACATTCGAGAAGAGATGAAAAAACAAAAAAATAAAATTATTTACTTGATTATTAATCTTTCTGATGTTGTTGTTGAAAGTAACCTTAAAACTTCATGTGATTTACTTAGTCTTTCCATTTTGTTTAATTTATATTCAATTCATTTATTTTAAAAACAAATAGATAAATGACTAAGTTTAAACATTATTTGATAATCATAATGAATGAATGAATAGTCGACTGAAAAAGACTAACATCGATTGAATATTCGTAAACACCGTTGACATTTCTGTTCTTTTTATTAATGGATGGCGCTAGATTACAGCTTTATAAAATAAGACTGTATAAAGTGAAAACCTCATCATCAACCAAAATTCTTATAACTAAAATATAGGCTTTGCTACACGTTCAATATGGATATGTTTCGATCTTGTAAATACTTAAAGTAAATCTAAAGACATTATTTTGCGCTGGTGTGGGTCCAAGTACTTCATTTATTGACATCCTCCCATCTAGAACCACGCTCTCTGCCATAGTCACCGTCATGACTTGGTTTAATATTTTATTTCTTACATTTTTGTCTCATTTTTTTTGTCATATTATTGTATATTATTAATAAGAAAAGTATCTGATGAAAAATAAAATAATGACGCATGATGTCTTTATTTATTTAATGAAAACGAAAATCTTTTTTCTTTCTATGGTGTAACGTTTGTTACTATGACAGACATGTTTTTGTTGCAGTCACATGTCAAGTCAAATTTCGTATTGATTTCTTTTTATTGCTGTAGTGAAAATTCTATTCAGATTGGCGTACTTGTTCAGAAGTAAATAATAATGAACACTTTTGTACATATTTGGCCAAAATCTGTAATGATTCTCATAGTTATGATGTATTTATTCTCTACTCAATGGTGTTGATGAAAGTCGACAAACAAATGCATAAAGAGATTAATAGTAATGATAATATTACAAGTAAAAAAAAAATATTTCCTCTTTGCTTATTTTGTTTTTTTTTAATCATAACTTGTCATATTATTCCAAAATTAATTCTTTAACGAATGAAAAATTCTAATAAAGAATCTATTGACGTATCGGAATATTTAATTGAAAGTATTTCGACTGTGTCATAAATTAAATTCATCGAATATGATCTCAAATGACTTATATGATATTAAATGTTGCTGTTATTCAGTCATATCGTAATTAGATTTCCTCGTTCATCTCTACATCATAATAATATATTTAGAAAAATTTAAGTAGGAAAAAACGCAATCCAATTCTTCAATCTGTATTGAATTGATTTGAAAAAGATTTGATGTGGAAATCAACTAAAAACTCATTGTAATTTCATGCTTTCAAAAATATAAAACTCATATATATATATACTTGTCTTTAATTGTTCTAGAATTGATTTATACCTGTGTACTTTGGGTGTGGATTTGCCTATGGCTGTGGTTTCTTCTTCTTCAATCAACCACACTCCATCTTATGAGATTTTTTTATTTGAACTATCGAATATCTAATGAAGTTCATGATTATTTTACTCATGAGGAAAGTTCTAATAACAAAAAGATTGATTTTTGAATTTTGACTTGACGTCTTGCCGTAGAGACAGATTTTAGCGAGGGTCATTTATCATCAAAATTTCAAGAACGAACATCAGATCTCTCAATTTGTACGAATGATGTAAAAGCCAAACTATTACTATACCTACATCTCATAAGAGAAAATTAGCAACAAATTTTAAAACATTGGCAAAAAATCTATTTCGGAAAACGAAACTCAGAGTATGCACATTACAGAATGCTATTAGTCATGAATGAAAATCGATTCATCAGTTCAAAGATTTCAAAAATATCTAAAGCACAGAAATTTTATCTTGAGATACGTTTCACGGACATATATGATCTACGGATCAAATTAATAACACACTAAAGAAATTTTTTTTGGGAATGGTACAAAAGTCGAAGTCAATATTTTGTTTATTA